TTTATTCTCTTTCTCTCATTTAATGTTCGAATCCTCTCAAATCGCTCAATTTGTAACATATACACATGTACGCAACATGTATACATACATACTGCGCAAAGCATTTAGGTATCAATTTCGAACGTTGAATTTGATTGTTTCGAAGATTGTTTCCATGAATTCGATGATTCACGAAATTACAGACGCTGAGAAAACATCAAATTTTTTAACTGAGCCGTATCTGAGCCGTATAAAGCGAAATAAAGAGTTATTAATATCAAACCTTAAGTTTTATGGGTTTCTTTTATTTCCTGGAAGTTTTGCCGTCTACATTTGTTTAAAAAATTTGTTTTCTCACATTCGCGGGGATATTTCAATGAATACACGAGCCCGTGCGAGGAAAGCAGTCAGCAGTTCGGAGTCAATCAGTGATCACTCGGAATACGATTCCACAACCAACGATATGGAAGATTTAGAAGAACAACAAGGTGCCCTTGGAAGTAATCCAGCGGCCATTTCCGCCGACCAAATCGCATTATTGGTGTCCAGTATTACATCGCTTCGTGAGTGTGTGGAAGAGCTACGCAGTGACGCATATCGTAGTAGGCATGGAGTCGGAGGCAGCTCTGCCAACGCTGCACATACCGACCATGTTCAGTCGCCATTACACACGCCAGCGCAGGCGCAGCCGCCGACGTTGCAAGTACACACACAGCAGCAAGCACAAACACAACAGCCGTTTTCGTCAACGCATTTGCCACCACGTATAGTACAAACGCCAACCATGAATACCGCCGCCTTAACATTTATGGATAATTCTGCCGCCAAGCTCTTTCCATTGCCAAATTTCGATGGCAATCCGGAAGATTGGCCATTGTTCTTAGCCAATTATAATGATACCACTAACGAGTTCCAATACAGCAACAGGCAAAATCTGATGCGTCTTCATAAATCCTTACAGGGTGCTGCGAAAAGAGCAGTAACGTCGCTATTAATCTACCCCGAAGATGTACCTCGGGTTATTCAAGAGTTGGAATTTAATTTCGGTCGCCCCGAATTGCTAATTAAAGCCCAACTGCAAAAGGTTCAGAAGTTTCCCTCGATAAGTGAGAGTCATTTAGACCAGATTTTAGATTTTTCTAACCGCGTTAGAAATATTGTCGCATTTTTTAAATCTGCAAGGTGTGCTCATCACCTTATGAATCCTACATTGCTTGAGTGTTTGGTTGGAAAGTTGCCTCCATCGAAGCAATATGAATGGAGTCAGCGGGCAGCAGGTATAGTGCCTTTTCCTACGGTAGAAAATTTTGCAGAATGGCTTAGTGAAATTGCAAAGTTCGTCTCATTGTTGCCGGGGGTGTCAGACATATCACTCCGTTCTATCCAAGCCAACGTCACACAGCCGAGAAGCGTTACGCGTCAGGCAAGTTCTAGTGCAAATTCTGCACGTCATTTCCTCTACAACAACGAAGTACAGCCTGAAATAAAGGTTGTGTGTTTGAAATGTGGACAATCGCACAAATTGGTTGACTGTCGTCAGTTTTTGTCGTGTGATCTCAAAACGAAATGGAGTTTTGTCAAACATAATCGACTATGTTTTGGTTGCCTTCGGAAAGGCCATAGTCTAGGCAATTGCCGTCAACGTAAAGAGTGCACAGTGAATAATTGCCAGCGAATGCATCACGAGTTGTTGCACCAAAGTACATCTCAGTCCTCTTCAGCAGCTAGCGAAGAAGCCGAGCGCGTTTTGAATTGTTTATCTGACAAGCAATCAAGCCTTTTTAAAATTTTTCCCATAAATTTATCTGGTCCAAACGGAAACATGTCTACGTATGCAATGTTTGACGAGGGGTCTTCAGTTACTCTTTTAGAAGAAAACGTCGCCGAAAAGTTGGGTCTTCGTGGTCAGAGCATACCACTTACGTTGCAGTGGTATGGCGAAAGCCAAGTTAAAGAAAATTCGAGGAAAGTTTCTGTCGCTATTAAGGGTAGTACTGCTGAGTTCTATCTGAAAAATGTACACACCGTCAAGTCGCTGAATTTGCCAAGCCAATCCTTTGATAAACACCAGTTTTCACATTTGCAGTCATTGCCAATAGAAAGCTATACAAATGCTAAGCCATCAGTGTTATTAGGTCTCGACAACAGTTACCTTGGAATCGCCAACAGGACGGTCGATGCAGGGCCGAACAAGCCAATAGCTATAGCTACACAATTGGGGTGGGTGGTGTACGGACCACTCAATCAGAGTCAAGCTATGCAACCGCGCGTGTTGCATGTTCGTGAGTCGCAGTCGCTTCAAGAGTTACATAAATTAGTGCAAGAGCATTACTCAATAGAAAGCTTTGGGGTACGTAGCACAAACGTCGTGCTGGAGTCAGATGACGACCGCCGAGCCAGGACCATTTTACAAGACACTATAAAAGAAATAGGTGAAAAATACGAAGTGGGTTTGTTATGGCGCAGTGATGCATTGACCCTTCCACCAAGTTACGATATGGCTTATCACCGTTTAAAGAATCTTGAGACACGAATGCTCAAGGATGTCAGTTTTGCCACTAATTATAGACACGAGATCGAGAAATACATCAGTAAGGGTTATGCCCGGTTGTTGTCACCGGATGAAGCATTGAAGTCAAGCCCTACTACCTGGTATTTGCCACATTTTGGGGTGGTCAATCCTCACAAACCCAACAAGCTGCGAATAGTTTTCGACGCCGCAGCCGCCACATCCAATTTATCTCTAAATTCGGTTTTATTAAAGGGTCCTGTCCATGCGCAGTCACTTATCGCCATTGTACACAAATTCCGCCAGGGTGTTGTGGCAGTCGCAGCTGACATCCAAGAGATGTTTTCACAAGTAAAAATAAGATATGACGATCAAAATTCACAACGCTTTCTGTGGCGTGACGGAGATCCGACTAAGCCGATTCAAACTTATATCATGACTTCGATGATTTTCGGAGCAATTTGTTCGCCATGCTGTGCGGAGTATATTAAAAATGTCAACGCTACCAAGTTTGAGTCTACCATGCCACGAGGAGCTTCAGCCGTAATCAACAATATGTATGTCGACGATTTGGTAATTAGCTTTAACGATTCAACTGAAGCTGAGCAAGTCGTAAAAGAAGCCATCGCCATAAATTTAGCTGCAGGTTTCAAATTAAGAAACTTTTTGTCGAACGACAAATCACTTCAAGCCATGTTAGGTGGCGAAGAAGAAACGACGATGACGGCCGTGAATATGGAGCATAATCCTACAGTGGATAAGGTCTTGGGTATGTTTTGGAACACACTCAATGATTCCTTTGAATTTCACATCAAGTTTCACAAAATTGCTCGAGATGTTTTGAGCTGTAAACGTCCGCCAACGAAGCGTGAACTTTTGGGTATCATAATGGCGATTTACGACCCATTTGGATTTCTAGCCAATGTCACAATTTATATGAAGCTCTTACTGCAATCACTCTGGAGACGTCAAACGGAGTGGGACGAGCCATTGCCACAACAACTTAACCTCAGGTGGACTTCGTGGTGGGAAAGTTTCCAGAATGTGTCATTATTTTCCGTGCCAAGGTGTTACTCCACGTTACTGATGTCAGCTAATGAGACCCAGTTACATGTTTTCGTCGACGCCAGCTCCAGTGCATATGCAGCTGTTGCCTATTTGCGCATATGCAAGGGTAGTGCCGTCGATGTTGTGTTTGTCGCTGCTAAGGCACGATGCGCCCCGTTGAAAGGTATGACGGTGCCTCGTTTGGAGCTGCAGGCAGCTATCTTAGGATGTCGCTTGTCCAAATCTATACAAGAATGCCATGATTTCATTATTGATCGAGTCGTCTTTTGGAGCGACTCAAAGACAGTCCTGTTGTGGATTAGATCCACCACGCGGGAGTACAAGCAATTTGTCGCCAGCAGGATTTCAGAGATCATCGCTTCAACCGAACCGTCTCAGTGGAGGTGGTTACCAACGTCACTGAATGTGGCTGATGATGCCACGCGAGGTAAACCCGTGTCAGAGTTCGAGCCGAATTGTAGGTGGTTAAAGGGTCCAGATTTTTTGCAACTCGAGGAAGGAGAATGGCCGCCAGAACCAGTTGATTTTAAGTCCAGTGAATGCGCCGCTGAAGAGAAAAAGAACGTCATACTGCTCGTGTTGCCAAAAGATGAGTATATCTTGAATTTAAATAACTTTTCATCTTATCTGAAGGTACTCAGAGTTATGGGCTGGGTACTGAGATTTACGTACAATGCCAAAAATCTACACCGTCGTATAGGGGAATTGAAACCCTTCGAAGTTACTGAAGCAGAAAAGGTCATATGCCGCCGCGTCCAGAATGAAGAATTCGCCCCCGAATTTCTCCAACTGCAATCAAAACATACCGTTGCTAAGTCCAGTCACATATATGCGTTAACTCCGTTTCTAGACGACGATGGGTTAATAAAGGTCAACGGCCGAATTGATGCAGCGTTTTGTCTCCCTATGTCAGCTCGTCGTCCAGTAATACTGCCGCAACATCACTATTTCACTCGTTTAGTTATCACATATTGGCATATAAGGTTACACCATCAAAACGACGGTTTGACCATAAATGAAGTTCGCCAAAAGTACTGGGTGCCACATATCCGTTCGGTATTGATGTCCGTAAAAAGATATTGTCCAACATGCAAAGCTAACGCCGCCAAACCTGATACGCCAATGATGGGTCAGTTGCCAGCAGATCGCTTGACGCCATATGTTCGCCCGTTTAGTTACACAGGAGTCGACTATTGCGGTCCGTTCCAGATAACCATTGGTCGACGTCGTGAAAAGCGCTGGGTCGCTTTGTTCACCTGCCTCACCGTGCGAGCTATACATCTGGAGGTGGCAGAAGATTTGTCTACAGATTCGTTTCTGATTTGTCTACGAAACTTTGTAAACAGGAGAGGAACGCCGATCCGAATGCGCAGCGACAACGGTACAAATTTTGTTGGTGCCCAGAAAATCCTGAACTCCGAAGATAGTTTATTTGATTTTAATCGGATCGAGCAAGAGTGTACCAAGCGCGGGATTGAATGGGTTTTTAATTGCCCTGCAAACCCATCAGCCGGAGGATGCTGGGAAAGACTAGTGCGGTGTGTTAAACGTCTCCTGTATCAAGTCCTTAAAGAAGAGGCACCACGTTTGGAAACATTGAGAAGTACGCTGATTGAAGCCGAGAATATAATTAACAGCCGCCCACTAACAGACATTCCCGTTTCACCGCACGATCCGGAGCCGTTAACCATTTCCTATTGGGTTGCCTTAATTCGACGCAAACGCCAAGTGTCGAGGAACAGAATATTTGTCTGCGTAAGCAGTACAGAATATCACAAGCTTTGAAGGATCGCTTATGGAAGAGATGGACGTCAGAGTATTTGCCGTCATTATTACGCCGATCGAAATGGAGAGAGAAAGTAAAGCCTTTACAACCTGGTCAAGTTGTTATCGTCTGTGATTCTAGCCTACCACGTAGCCAATGGATGAAAGGTATAATAACACAAGTCATCACAGCTAAAGACGGCCAGGTTCGATCCGCATCGGTGCAAACAAGCCAAGGAGTATTCCGACGACCAGCCAGCAAGCTAGCCGCTTTTGATGTTTGTGAATCCCCTTAGAGATTCACCTGGAGGTGGAATGTTAATGCAACAGCGTGAATACCGTCAGTTGCAAATTCCTATTTAC